CTCTCTGGTGGGGGCATGACGAACAATAGGATCCAGCACGACTTCAGAGAAAGACCTGGCATACTGCGAGACAAGGCCCACTCCTGAACTCAAGCCGCCTTTCTGAGTACTAACTGAGGGGTGGAGGTGCGCATGGAACCCATGCTTGTGAGCACGGTTGACTGCGAACTCGATAGCCTCTTCCGTACGACAGAGTTCTTGAAAACCAACAGCATCAAACCGATCAGAATAAACCTCCAGGAAAATATCGGCATTGGACCAGGAGGTAACATTCACAGTAACGATGGCCCAGTCCCGACGCTGCTTCTGTCCGAAGGCTGACTTGTCGGGCGGGGTCTCCGATGTGTTAAAGGTCAGACGGGCCCTTGGGATTGGAGCCCTCCACCACTGCTGGGGTATCGGCGGGGCCAGAGGTGGCGGCAGCCGGCGGCGAAAACCCTCCTGACTGTCCCGACTGATCAACTGCAGCATCAGGGGCATGAGCGGGACGTTTCGGCGCAGGCGGCAGTGAGGAAGAGGAACGGGGAGGAGCCCTGGCAACACGTGTTGGGGAACCTTGCTGGTCGACAGACATCCTGGGCCCCTCAGACTGGGACCGAGGTTCACTGGCAACACCAACAGGAGCATAGCCAGACAGAACGATACCCTGGAGGTCCCGCAACGCCTGAGCAAGCTTCTTGTCTCTCTGCGCTGCCTGGGAAGCTGCGAAGACGTCCGCCACGGCTGATAGATCTGGGGGCGTGAAGCCCTCAGGGACTGGCTCACTCGACGGAAGATCCTGCAACTTAGACTGCCACATGGCCATGTCCTGGGCGACCCGCTCCTGACGTGAGCAAAGGGCGTCCCTTTCGCTCTGAAGGTCCAGGATCTTTCGATCGAACTCACGGATCTGGCTAGATGTCTTGTCGAACTTCTTACTCGCCCAGTGATGGCGCTGCTTATAGAATGCACGCTTCTGGGAACGGTAAGCAAGTCGGACTTCTGTGCGCGGAGATGCTGCACCTCATCCTGGAGACCCGAGACCTGATCACAAACATACTTGGTCGGCGGAAGCAGGCGAAGGGAATCCAGCTGGCCCAAAAGGGCCTTGATAATCTGATCAATCTGCGTAACCGAGAGCTCATTGCCATTGGTGTCGACACAGCCGCCATCAACGTCGTCGTCGACGTAGTCAGCCCAAAAACCACGATCGCTGCCAAGACTGTCGTCGCCAGAGTCATACCCGAATCTATCCTGCACTTCCTCGTCAAATGGGGCCTGAAGACGTTCATCCAAAGACCGAACTGGGGGAGTGGCAGAACCGTCAACAACATGACGATCATGGAAACGAGCACGGGGAGGAGACAAGACACGCTCACTGCCACTGCCTTTGCTCCTGCCTTTGCCGTCTTTGTCGCCTTTGCGACCGTCCTTTCCTGGGGCCTGTCCTTTACCTGTCCTTTGGAGCGGCCAGGAAAGGGAGTACTGCAGAACTTACACTTCTGGCGGGGGTTGGTGTCGGGGATCCACGAAGTCTTGCCAGCATCGCGACAGACGAGACAGACGAGATATCCCATGTCGCGCCCGTGCGGCTCGGTGGGCAGCACACACGCCAGAACCGTCCGAGCCTCCCGCGCGGCTGCGGACAAGCTCGAAGCCTCGCGGCAAGGTTTCGAACTTGAGCCACAATGGCTACGGACGTAGCGTAGGGCACGGTGCGCAAGGCTTGGGGGCATGCGGGGTACGGGGTAGGGCTGGTTATTTAGGGCTCATTCCATGGGCTCCAGGGCCTCGGGTGCAGGGCTTCGGGCGTAGGGCGTAAGGCGTAGGGCGTATGCATGAGGGGCGTGTGGGGTGGGGTGGGGTGGTGGTGGTGGTGTTGGTGGTGGTGTTGGTGGTGGTGGTGGTGGTGGGGTCAGGGCGTGGTGCCTGCGGCTTGAAGACAGACGGCGTAAGGCTGAGGGCGCAGGGCTCAGGGCTTCGGGCTGAGAGCTCTCGATGGCGGGCTGATGGCTCAGGACCTAGGACTGCTGGCTCGCGGATTCCTAAGGGTTGGGGGCGCGGGGCCTGGGGTTGGCGCCGTCAGGCTTACAGTTCTTGGCGTTGGGACCTCAGCCCAGGGCTGGGGACTTCGGGCGTGGAGCGCGTGGCCAGTGGCGCGGCTCATCGGTCAGCAAGGGCGCGGGGCGTGAGGCATCGGGCTTGGGGCGTGTAGCTTAGGCCTTGGGGCGTTGGGCGTTATGGGCTTCGGACTGAGCGCGGCGCTGGGGGCTTCGGGCTCGTCGGGTTGGGGCGCGCTGCTGGGGCCCGCAGCGTCGGGCGCAGGGCCCCGGGCTTCGGGGGCGGGGCTCGGGGCGCGTGGCCGGGGTTTCCAATGGCTCGGGGCAGAACGTTCGCGGTTGAGGGCTTGGGGCTGGGGCTTGGGGCGTGGGGCCATGGTTGATGGCGCAGGGTTCTGGGCTCAGGGCCCAGTGTTTGAGGCCGCGGGCTTAGGGCGTGGGGCTGATGGTCGACAGCTGGGGGCTCAGGGCTTCGGGCTTGCAGCCCACGGTTGAGGTCGGCGTCGCCGCGATCGGTGTGCCCGATCATGAAGCGTGGGCCGCCATCGCAAATTCCGTTTTCCAGTCCAAAGATATTGCGGCGCTGGCTTTGCAAACCGAGCCCGCCACCAACATCCGACGCAATCGAATCAATCGATGTCCATCCGGAACCAGCAACCGCCATCAGCGTTCACCAATTTCCACCAACATCCATCAAACCCGACCATTGAAACCGTCATTTTCCGGCAAAATCTGTCACGGAAGGTCGAGCGATGTGCCAGGATTTCATTTTCCATCAAAGTCCATCAGAGTCTGTCAAGAATCCATCAGCACCGGCTACCAGCATCCATCGCAGTCCATCAACGCGGATCAATCCATTAATTTCCATCAACATCCATCAACATCCATCGATAAGTTAGCTTTTTGCCCATGGCAGGAAGGGGGGGTGCACGCGGAAATGTCGGAGTCGGGGGAGGGGAAAGGGGGGGCGGGGGCGCCCATGCGCCCCTGAGTCGTTTTTTTGCAATGTGTTCTCTTCCCAGGCGCCCCGCAGGGTGGCTGGTCACTAGCGTTTTCTGACAGCGCACATGGGGCGTCGAGCGCGGCGGGGTCGACAGTTTTCATTTGGGCCTTCGCTCGCGAAGTCTTGGGATGGGGCGCATGGCGCTTGGTGCGTGGGGCCGTGGGTACGGTTTCAGATCGGGGTCGTTGGCATTCGGGCTTCGAGGTTGGCTTGGGTTTGGAAGGCAGTGGGCGCGGGGTCTCGGCGCGGCGCTTCGGGGCGTTGGGCGCGGGGGCCGCGGCGGATGGAATGTGGCTCGGGTATTGGGCGCGGGGCGCATTGCAGGCGCATTAGAAGGTGTGGCTCGGCGCTAACGGCGCCAGGTTTTGCGTGTTCTGGCCGACGGCTCGCGGCGTCGGGCCACGGACTCTGGCCCGATGCCTTCTGCCGTCGACCCGCGGCCCCGGGCCCTGTGCCCTCGGGCCATGAGCCGTTGGCCCGCCGTCCCGGGCCCCGCGCCGTCGCCCCTCTGAGGTCCCCCCAACCCACGAGCCCCGGGCCCGAAGCCGCGGCCTCTCTGCCCCGGGCCCGGAGGGCCCGCGGCCCTGCGCCCCAAGCCGCGCTCAGCGCGCCCTCGAGGTCGCGCCCCGCGAGTGGCGTTCGCGACGCCGCGCCGCGGGAGAGAGGGTTCAGCCCGTTTTCTTTCCATGGCATTTGCCCGAGAATTTTGCGCTGGCCATGTGGCTGGCTTAGGGACGAAACAAGATGCGTCCAAACCCCATGGCGCTATTTCCATCGGTTCCATCAAATGCCGCTGCTGCTGATGATAAAGATGGTGGTGGTGCTGGTGGTGGTGGCGGTAAGGATGATGCTATTGCTGGTGATGATGGTGGTGGTGGTGACGACGACGATGATGGTGATGATGGTGACGGTGATGGGGGGCTTAAGATGTTGATGATGCTGATGATGAGTCTGATGATGGTGGATGGTGATGATGATTGTGCGGACGATGTTGAATATGGTGATTGTGATGTTGCTGATTATGACGATTATTATGCCGATGCTGATGATGGTGATGATGATGATGATGATGATGATGATGATGATGATGATGATGATGATGATGATGATGGGGAGGAGGGTGATGACCATGATGATGATGGCGATGGCGATGGCGATGCTGACAATGATAGTGATGATGATGACAACGAGGATGATGATGACGATGATGATAATGGTGATGTTGACGACGATGATGAATATGATGATGACGATGATGATGATGATGATGATGATGATGATGATGATGATGGTGGTGGTGGTGGTGGTGGTGGTGATGATGATGGTGGTGGTGGTGGTGATGGTGATGCGGATGATGATTCTGATGCAAGTGCTGATCGTTACCTGCTGGGTACATCGATGAACATGACGACGATTTTGGTCTTATGATGGTGATGATCGGTGATGGTCAGCGGGGTGATGCTGGTGATGGTGTTTGTGGTGATGAGGGGCAGGCGGAGGAGGATGAAGAGGAGAAGGAAGAGCTGTGAGGCAAGGGGGTCGTGCGGCCGTTCCGTTTCATGGATCATAGGACTATGGGGTCTTCCCAGACAGGAGTGCCTAGTTGTGCTAATTTTGTGCATGATGCTCTTATTCACATGACTGTACTGCATTTGCTGCCGAGCCAGGTGCCTTAGACAACTCATCAAGCGAAACTGGGAATATTTTGTCCTCCAGTCCTTTCGAGTGATTCGAAAAGTTAAACCAGACCTTATCTGAGCCCTGTCAGCAAAACAAACCAACAAAAAGGAACAGATGGACAGGATAAGGTGGATGAGGACGAGGATATGTGGGGATGTGGAGGAGGAGCCTTCCCCATTTCGTCGTTGTCGTCGTCCTCGTCCCCATCCCCTCTTCCACACTCCTCGTTTTTTCTTTCGCCCTCTTCCCGTTCCGTCGCCGGGCCCGCCACGCGCGAGATTTGGAACCGCCCTGTTCGTGAAACCAAGCATCTTCGAGGCCGCGTCGCGCCGCCCTGGCTGCCCAACTGGTGCGCCGCGGCTGAGAAGAGCGGCCTGGATGAGGGGCAGGGGCATGGACGAGGGGAGGGGCGAGAAGAGGAGGAGGAGGGGGGAGGAGGAGGAGGAGGAGGAGGAGGAGGAGGAGGAGGAGGAGGAGAAGGAGGAGGAGGAGGAGGAAAATGAGGAAAAAGGACGAGGAGAAGGAGGAGGAGGAGGAGGAGGAGGAGGAGGAGGAGGAGGAGGAGGAGGAGGAGGCTGTGACAGTCCGGTACGCCGTGCCGGGAGACGCGGCGGGCTTGACCGCGGACGCCGGCCGCGACGGCGCAGTGGCTGCCGCCGCGGAGGCGGACAAGAGGCAGCAGTACCCCGAGGGCCGTTGCCCTTGGCCGGTTTTTCCCTTGGCCGTCAAGGCAGGAGGGCGCCACGGCAGGGCCGCCTTGCGCCACCTCCGGCAATTGGCGCGCGACCAAGCGAAGCGTGTCGACGAGGACACGGCCGGGGCGGTCTGCGGCGCTGTCTGCCAGCGTTGGGGCGCATAGTTGTCCGTGGCCTTGCGCAAGTCAGCGGCCAGTCAGTTCGGGAGTAGCGCAGGCAGCCGCGAGGACGCGGCGGCTCTGCGCCAGGCGCGGGCCGCTTGAGCCCGCGATGTATAATGAATTGTTATGTGGGGCCCACGGACTGAATCACCCCTCCCCCTGCTGCTGCCTGCTGGTCCGCCTTTGTCCTGTCTTTTCTGTAGCCTGGGAGGAAGAAGGATGAGGAGGAGGAGGTGGAGGAGGAGGAGGGGGAGGAGGAGGAGGAGGAGGAGGAAAAGGAAGAGGAAGGGGAGGAGGAAGAGGGGGAGGAGGAGGAGGAGGAGGAGGAGGAGGAGGTGGAGGAGGAGGAGGAGGAGCAATAATATTAATAAAAATAATATCAACGATACTAGAAGTAGTAATAACAATAATAACACTAATAATAGTAGTAATAATAATAGTAGTACGAATAATAATAATATTAATGATACTGATAATACTAATAACAATAATACTATTAATACTGATAATAATAATAGTAAGAATAATACTACTAATACTAATAATATTGATATTACTATTACTAATGATAATACTAATAGTAATACTACTACTAATAATAAATAAATAAATAAAAATAACACAAATAACATTAGTCATAATAATGATACGAATAATGATAAGAAGAGGGATGCTAATACTACTACTAATAATAAACTAATATCAAGGAAAAAAAGGATACTACTAATAATAGTATTAGTCATAGTACTAAGAAGAATGCGAATAGTAGTATTACTATTAACACTTATAGTACTAATAGTAAGAATCGAAACCAATTGCCCTAGCCAGCTCAACCTGCCAACCCGTCCAACCAGCCAGCCAGCCCACCCAGCCACCCCGCCACCTAGCCAACCCGTCAGCCAAGCAGCCCAGCCGCCCACCCCGTCGTCCCGCCAACCAGCCGATCCCCTCCGCCTGCTATCCGTGCCCAACCAGCCACCCTGCCAACCCGCTCTCCCCCGCCGCCTGCGTCACCGCCGAGAAGGGGGGGGAAGTGTTTCTTACCAGCGAAAACTAGCCCTCCCGGGGACCGGCGGGACAGCGGGGAGGGGGCAAATCGCACCGTACTATGCAGGACCGGGAATGGCGGGGGGGGCGCCGGGCACGGTTTTGGGCCTCAAGTGTGTAACTGTCGTCATTTTTCAACGTCCACCGCGCCCTTTTTCTCAATGGGAAGGCTCCCGTCTTTGAAATTGTCGCCAATTTTGAGGCCCCGCGCGTGGCTTCTTAGAGAGCCGTCAACAGGCATCAGGAAGCTCCAGGAGGCTTCAGGAAGCTCCAGGAGGCTTCAGGACGTCCCGGAGGCAGTGGGAATCCTAAGGAGGCTCCAGGACGCTCCAGGAGGTCCCAGGATGCCCCGCGAGGTCAGGTCCCGCAAGGCCCCAGGAGGTCCCATCACGCTCCGGGCGTATCCTGAACGACCCAAAAGTTCCACAACGTTGCGGACGCCCCTGGAGGGCTGAGGATACCCTAGGAGAGCCCAGGAGGTTTCAAGAGGCCGCAGGAAGTCCCCAGAGGTTGATATCCCAGGAGGCCCCCGGGATTACCAGGAGGTTCCATGAGGTCCCATGGTCCATCACGCCCGAGGTAGGGAGGGGGAGGCGGAGGAGGAGGAGGACGTGGAAAAGGAGGAGGAGGAGGACAAGGAAAAGGAGGAGGAGGAGGACGAGGAGAAGGATGAGGAGGAGGACGAGCATGATGAGGAAAGGATGAGCAGGGTGACAGCGTGACGCCCCAGCAAATACACTTGGTCCAATTGGTTTCTACCCCCGTGAGGGGCGTTACATGGTAAGAATGATAATGAATAGTAAGAAAAGAAGAATGATACAAGTAATACTAATACTAAGAATAATAAAACGACGACTAATAATACGAAGAACCATAATAATAATAATAATACTAATAATAATAATAATAATGAGATAACGAAGCATATTAAACAACATCCGGAGAACATGAATGAAACCACGAATAGTAATAAGAAGAGTATTAAGAATACTACGGACACTACTAATAACACTACTAATGATACTACCGATGTTATAAATAATTTGAGTAAAGTAATTATTGCCAAACGTAAGAATGATATTATTAATACCAACATTAATAAGACAAATACTAACAATAGTAATACTAAGTCTTAATTTTAATAAGAAAGCTACTAAACATATTACGGGTACTACGAACATGACTAATCATACTTATAAGACGACCAAGAATAATGTTACGCATACGATTAATATTAACACTACTAATAAGACGAATACAACGACTAAGAAAACGAAGCGTACTACTAATACTAATAAGAAGACGATTACGAAGACGAATCAGAAGAGTAATAATAACACGAAGAGGAGGAGGAGGAGGAGGAGGAGGAGGAGGAGGAGGAGGAAGAAGAGAGGAGGAGGAAGAGAGGAGGAGGAGGAGGAGGAGGAGGAGGAGGAGGAGGAGGAGGAGGAGCAGGCGGAGGAGGCAGAGGAGGAGGAGGAGGAGGAGGAGGAGGAGGAAGAGGAATACTAGCAATAAGAGGAATAAAAATAACACCACTAATAATAATAATGCTAATAATAATAGTATTAATAATAATGCTAATAATACTAATGATGATAGTAAGGATAAGACGAATAATACTACTATGAAGAAGACAAAGCAACATACGAACAATACGATATTACATATAATACTGATAAGAGCAATGGTAATACTAGCGAGAATGATGATACGAATAGTGTGGCGAATATTCAAACTACGAATCATACTATTAACACTAATGGTAATACTAGTAGTAGTAATAATGCTAATCATGCTACTACTACTACTACTAATAATAATAAGCATATTAAGGCGAATACTCTTACGAATAAGAATAAGACAAGTATCAATACTATGACGAACACGAAGAGTACTAATACTAATACTACTACTAATAATAGTAATAGTAATACTACTACTAATACTAATACAAATACTAATGCAAACAATAATAATACTAATACTAATACTAATAATGATGAGAGTACTAGTAATAGTAATAATACTAATACTAACACTAATAATACTAGTAGTAGTACTAATACTAATAATCATACTACTAATATAATAATAACGATCATACTACTAATACTAATAATACTAATACTACTACTACTAATAATAATAATAATAAACATAATAATAATAACAATGCTAATAATAAGAATACTAATACTAGTAATACTAATAATAAAACTAATACTACTACTACTAATAATAATAATAATAACACTAATACTAATACTAATAACACTAATAATCATACTAACACTAAGAAAAATAATGCGAATGAGAAGAAAAGGAGGAGGAGGAGGAGGGGGAGGAGGAGGAGGAGGAGGAGGAGGAGGAGGAGGAGGAACAAAAACGGAGGAGGAGGAGGAGGAGGAGGAAAAAAAGGAGGAGGAGAAGGAGGGAGGAGGAGGAGGAATATTTATACGTAGTAACTCGCCGGCCCAGGCGCGCTAGATCTCTGGTCGTAGGTTAACAACATTTCTAGCTCGGTCGCGCGTGGCGGCCCCTCGTGGCCCTGGGGCGAAAAGTACCCCGGGCGATGCCCGGCCGATGCCCGGCCGACTTCCCTTGGGCGCTCCAGGATCGCGCCAAGAGTGCGCCGGGGCGCCTTCTACACGGCCCAAGAGGGCCCGAGTCGCCGAAAGATCTTTCCAAGACGTTCATGATGGTCTCCAGATGGCCCCAGAGGCCGCGAAAAAGCCCCAAGAGAGCTTCAAGAGGCTTCCAAGAGGGCCCCGACAAGCAAGATCGGCTCATTCCCGTTGGAAAACGTACATTTTTCACATGCGCGACGTTTTTCATTTTTTATTTCCAACGTTCCAAAAAGGCCCAAGAGGCCCCCCAAAACGCCCCAAGGCAGCCCCAAAAACCTCCAAGAAGGCCCCAAGACGCCCCAAGGTGGCCCCAAGACACCCCAAGTTGCGTCCAAGATGGCCCACGAGGGCCCCGAAACGGCAACAAGAGAGACCCAAGAGCGGGACCAGGAACTGACAAGTTTGGCCTTCAGCCCCAAGAGGCCCACCCCCAAAGATGCCCCAAGGGGCCCCCAAGACGCACCCCAAGAAGCCCGAATAGGCCCCCAAGAGGCCCCCAAGAGGCCCCAAGAGGCCCAACACGGCCCCTAAGAGGCGTCAAAATTGCTTCCAAGGGGCCCCCGAGATGCCCGACCACGGCCCCGAGGCGGCGAGGCAATATGGGCCGGCGAAATGAGCGAAGCGATTAAAGAACATGAGCCATATCAATTTACATACATGCTGATTATAGGAATGTAACTAATAATGACATAGCAGTGCGAATCATCTTCAGAAACACCATATATGCAATACGCATATTTTTGCGAATGCTAGCCACCTGAACGGTACGAATCACAATGCTAGTAGCAATAATGATGAGTTTACTATCAAGAAGAGTAGTAATACTAAAACATACAATCATGACAATACCGTTAACTCCATCAATACGAATGTGACTGTACTAATACGAATAGCAATGCATAGGGTCATAAAGCACATATAATAATAGTAACAGTACTAGTCTTAGTATTAGCAGTAATAATATTAGGAGTAATGCTAGTGATTGTACGTGTAGTAGTAAGAGGACGGCGATTCATAATATTGACACTGATGAGGCTAATTATATGAAGAAAGAGAAGAAGATGGACGACGGGGAGGAGGAGGAGAAGGAGGAGGAGGAAGAGGAACAATAGAGAGATAGGGGGGAGAGGAGGAGACATGAGGAGAAATCATGAGGATCCGAAAGGGAAAAGATGATGTGGATGCTGATGCTGATGCTGATGAGGAGGATGATGATGACCATTCTGAATATGATGACGATGGTGATGATGACGATGGTGATGATGCTGCTGCTGATGATGATGGTGATGATGATGATTATGACGCTGACGATTCAGATGATTCTGAGGAGGACGAGGAAGAGGAGGAGGAGGGAGAGGGGAGGAGGGAAAGGGAGGAGGGAGGAGAGAGGACGGAGGAGGGAGGAGGGAGGAGGGGGGGAGGGTGAGGGGTGAGGAGGAGGAGGGGAAGGAGGAGGAGGAGGATGAGGAGAACGTAAATGAGGAACGAATGCTTCAGAATATTGATGGCGTGGGGACTAGAAGGAGGAGAAGGAACAGGAGGAGGAGGAGGAGGAGGAGGAGGAGGAAAAGATGGGACGGATCGGGTTGTGTGGACCCGTGTTGTCTCACCACGCCTCCCCATCGATTGTTGTGGCGCTGGCTCCGTCCGCGTGCGGTCTAATGTTGAACGCGCATCTGACCCGCAGGTCGTATGATTTGGCTTTCCAGTGCCTGCAAGTCTAGACTTGCAAAGCACACTTCCAGCGTAGGAGCAGAGCGCTTGAGAGGCAGACCTACAGTCGCCGCCCATGATGAGGATGCGGTTGTTTCCCACGGCTGTCATTCGATCGTCGTCTTTTCGGACTGTATTTGGCTAACTTCGTCAGCCAACCGAAAGGCTACTCTTGCGTCGGGCTGCCAGCTTAGACGCCCAAGGGGCTTGCATCTTTGCCTCGCATCCTTGTGACGCGCGGCGGCTGCAGGGCGGTGGACAGATCCGCGGACGACTTGTGCGCACCGTACCGCGTTGGACTCTCCCGAGGCGTCGTCGATCTCCGACCCAAGAAGGGTACGGTGCGCAGTTTTTCGGCCCTCACAGCCGAACGGCTGTGCCCCGCACCGCCCTGGGGTCGGGCCTGCATCTACGACCGTCTCGTACCGATGTGGGCGCCCTTCTCGTACCCATTATCTCGATCGAGCGATCCGCCCCCTCCTCCTCCTCCTCCGCTTCCTCCCCCTCCTCCTCCTCCTCCTCCTCCTCCTCCTCCTCCTCCTCCTCCTCCTCCTCCTCCTCCTCTTGCTCCTGCGTCGAGGCCGATCTGTTCGACGAGGCCGCGCAGCGGGAGCTGCCGGAGCTGGCGGAGCTGCTCCTCGGCGAGGCGCTCGCGGGGCCGCTGGCGGAGCGGCTGCCCGAGCTGCGGCTGGCGGCGGGCCCGGGGGCGAGGTCTCGGGGCACGGCAAGGGCTTGTTTCGCATCGCGAGGTCCTCCTCCTCCTCCTCCTCCTCCTCCTCCTCCTCCTCCTCCTCCTCCTGGGTTTGCTCTGCATGGGATTCGAGAGTAGAAGTGAGTTGTTCGCTCCGCAGCTTTTCTCTCATACAGGAGGGGGGCATCCTGGGGCCCGGGCTGTGCATGGCCCTGGCGCTGCGTCCGCGACACGCCGCAGCCGGCGTGGTGGGCGCAGTCCTGCTCAGGCACGCCGACCTGGTGTATCAGACCTTCCTGCAGCAGGCCGGGCTCTGGCAGGGCGCTGGCCACGCCGGCGCCGAGGCGGCCGCCCAGGCCGCCTACTCAGCCGCGGACGCGGCCAGCTTGGCCGCCTCGGCGGCGGCAGCGGCGGGCGAGGCCCTGACCAACTGGAGCGGGCCGCTGGAGGGCGTGAGCTGCCCACAGGCGCCAGCCTGCACCTGCTCGTGCCCGAAGGTGCCGGAGTGTCCACCTGAGGCGGACGGTGACGTGAAGGAGGGCTTGTGGCACCTGGCGGGAGGCGCGGTGGGCCACATCGTCCTGGTGTTGGGAGGCCGCCTTTGCGCCTGTCGTCGACGAGATGGCGTCCGAGCCCAGGCGCCGCCGAGCTCCCCTGCGGGAGTCGCGCCCGACGGCCTCGGCTCCCCCGGGCGTGCCGCGCTGGCAGGGCCTGGCCGCCCTGCTCCTGGAGACAGGGCACGCCGCCGTGGAGGAGGAGTTCTGCAATGAGCTCCTCGTGGGTAGCTACGTGGCCGTGTTCTACACGGAAGATGATGTGTGGCATGAGCGTCAAATTTTGTTCCAGGTCGACGCCCAGCACTGGGTGGTGTACACCCCTGACGGCGACATGTACATAGAGAATGTGATGGCTGGGGATCCCGACTCGGGTCCGTGCCGCGCGGCCATCCTGCCTGCTGACGGCACCCTCCCGTTCTTCCTCAGGGGCAAGACCTACAGGTTCCGTGACTTCCCGGACGAGCAGCGGCTCCTCGACCTGATCAATGAGGGGTACCAGCTCGCCGTGTCCGAGGGCGGCGAGGTCGTGGGCCCGACGGCGTACTCCGACGCCATGGGGCAGAGGCAGCCGTTGGAGTTGCACGAGGGCATCTACCGGCGTGCGCGCGGGCGCCCGCTACCGGCTCTGCCGCCTCCTCTTGAGCCCCCAGAGGGCGGAGACCTCCTCGTAGGGGGCACCCGCACTCCCGAGGTCCTCGACGCGGATGTGGAGCTGGTGAACGATGGAGGCCGCTGGGTGTCCCTCGTCACGATCGGTTCCGTGCGCCGTGGCGACCCTGTGGAGCTCGAGACGGGTGACAAGGTGCTGGGCGAGCTGGCGCTCCACCGCATGACCAATGGTGAGGTGATCGCCGCGTGTCGTCCCGACTACCTGAGCAAAGTCGTGGATGGAGGCTCGGCTGCTGACGGCGGCGACGCTCGTGTGCTCGCCCCCGTCTCCTATGACCCGGGCGGGCGACGCTGGTGTGATTTTGCCAACGCTGTCAGCAAGATGAGCACAGAGCCGATGGAGGACTTCCCGCTTGAGGGCGAGAGGTCGGCGCTGTGGCTCTTCAAGTACGGTCGTGATCACGGCGGCACGTTCGACGCCCGCCAGACCAAGTGGGCCACGGAGCAGAAGATCGCCATCGACTCCACCGCCTACCTTATCCACGATCTCGTGGGTCTGGCGCTGGATCTCTCTGTGTGCTATGACCAGTGCGATGGCGGCAACCTTGCCAGTGTCGAGGTGCTGGCGCGGCTGTACCAGCTGGTGGGGGAGACCAACGGGACCCTCCAGCTGGAGGGCCTGGAGCACTACGTGGGCCGCGACCCCACAGGCGGCCTACGCAGTGGGGTCGCGCTCAACCCTGGGCTCGCGCACTATGCGACCGACAAGACGAGCAAGGAGACGGAGGTGATGAAGCAGCGCCGCAAGGCTCGTGAGGAGTCGGCGGCGGCCAAGAAGGCCTCCAAGGGTGGCGGCAAGAAGGATCAGGAGCACCCCTGAGAGAGGGGCGCACCACGGCGGACCCCGGTCGTGGTGCGAATGCCAAGGGGTCAATTCACCGTCGTGATGCTGCTGCTGGTGAAGGGGATGGCCTTCTTCCTTTGGCCTGTCCTCGGCAGGAGTGTTACACTGGTGGCTGCACTGCGCTGTCGCGGGGCACGGAGCAACGTGTTCGGCGGCGGCTCAAGGTCCAAGATAGGACCGCCGAGACGATTCGAGCCATCAATCGCCTGGCAGGTTTTGACACGCCCGAGGTGGAGTCCGTCGGGGAGCTGACCGGCCCCTCCGCCCTGGTCTACAGCGACGTGCGGGCGCTTCACGCGGCTCATGCCCCCGAGCCGGTGAATTCGATCAGTCCGCAGGAAGCCTTTCATGAGCTTCTCGGGAGCACGCCCTCATCGTACATGGATGGCGACGAGGTCTCTCCAGTTCGGCCCTACTCGCGCGAGTTGGTGAGCTGGCCCAAGAGGGGCAACCGCCCGGTCCCGCTGCCGACGAACGCGCCACCGGACCTGCTCCGGTACATGACAGAGGGCCAGCGAGATGTGTGGCTGCGGCAGCCGCAGGAGGTGGCGCAGGTCCGGCAGGTTGAGGGCCTGCCGACGCTGTGCGGCGATACAGTTTTGAAGGAGAATCGCGACGCCTACATCGGCTTCGTGAAGGATGGCCTTGCTCGGGGGATCTTCCGCCTGAGCCGCCGTCGGAAGGAAGCCGTCAAGGTCTTTTTCGTGAAGAAGAAGGACTCTAGCATTCGGATCGTTATCGATTGCCGACGGAGTAACCAACACTTTCGAGCCGCGCCGAAGGTCCACCTCTTCTCGGGCAGCAGCTTCGGGGAGGTCGAGGTCTCGGCGCGCCAGCAGATGTGGTGCGCAGGGGGTGACGTTCAGAACGCCTTCTACCAGCACCAGTTGCCGTGCTGGCTGCAGCCCTACTTCGGCTTCGACTGCGTCCGGGCCTCGGAGCTGGGCGTTGCTGAGCTGGACGGCCAGGCCGTGCGGGGCGACCAGATCCTGTACCCCCTGATGAACGTGGTTCTGATGGGGTGGAAGTGGGCCCTCTTCATGGTGCAGCGGATCCACGAGCATGTTCTCGATGGAGTTCCCGAGCTGGGGCCGCGGCGCCGAGCGGTCGACTTTCGGCCTCCGCCTCGAGTCGAGGACGGGGCGGTGCACGCGGTGTATGTGGATAACGTGCTGATCGAGGGGTTCGACCAAGCGGAGGTGACACGACTCCGTGAGGCTGCATGCGCCGCGCTGCAGCAGGCGGGCTACGCCACTCACGACGAGTCCGACGCTGCGGCGAGCATGGAGATGCTGGGCGTCGAGCAGACCGGCTGTCCAGGTCGTGTGCAGGTGTCCGCGAAGCGCTACTGGCGGTTGTGGCAGGCGCTGGAATGGATCCGGCGCAGGCAGCCTCCTCTGAGCAGCCGTCAGCTTGAGCGTCTGATTGGCCACTTTACTTTTGTGGCTCTCATTCGGCGAGAGCTGCTTAGCACGTTGCGCGCCAGCTACGATTTTTCCAGGGGTGATTTTACCAAGCCCCGGAGCCTGTGGAAAAGTGTCCTCCAGGAGCTCAGAACCATCCAGGGCCTTTTAATTTTTGCGTCCAGGGACTTGGATCCTCGCTGGTCCTCGGACGTGTTGGCCTACGATGCGTGTGAGTCTGGGCATGCCACGGTGAGGGGGGCCTGGACGGTGGGAGGTGTACAGCAGGTAGGGAAGTGGCACGAGCGTTGGAGGTATAAGAATGAAGACGATCCCGCTCGTACAAATCCCCGTGGTCACGCTCTGGGACAATCTTATGACAAACAAACAGATATGGAAGATATGTCAAACAAGGAGATCGATTACAGTGATGTGTACCTAAACCGTGAATTCCCCGACGTCCCCCCCCAGCTTGTGCAGTCAACTCGGTGGACGCTGGAAAGATATCAACCGGTTTTTACTCGTGAGCCAATTCATGTTGCTGAAATGCGGGGCTTCTTGGGATCTATTCGCCAAGCGGTTCGGGATCCTGGTGATTGGGGCAAGTCGTGGCTGATGTTGGGAGACAACTTGGGGCTCATCCTCTCGCTCTCGAAAGGTCGGTGTCGAGATCCTCGTTTACTCATGCTTCATCGTAAGGCAGCAGCGTGGGCTCTAGCTACCAAATCGAGATTTGTATGTAGATGGCTACCCTCTGAGTTGAACCCAGCCGATGGACCATCCCGCAAGAGAGAGCCATCGGCGCCAGCTACGCGACCGGCGAGTGGGCCACCCCAGCCATCGGCGGACCGCACCGACGACTTCCCACGTGGTGCAGGCGCTCTCTCGTGTGCCGTTGAGGTCGGGCTATCCACTGACGGACAAGCGGCAGAAGACCGAGCCAGACGTGGAGAGCCTCCGTCGTGCCAACCAGCCTCCTCCTGGGCATCCAATGCTGGGCTTGCTGGAGGCCAAGAGCGCGAGCCTCGACAAGGGGCAGCAGCTGCGGGAGCGTCGTGCCGCACGTCGGCAGGACGTTCACGGGCCGCTCCGGGACACGACGAGGGGACCGGGCATCACCGAGGAGGCCTCGCTGACGCAGAAGACACGAGATCAGTATCAACGACTACTTCACGATTTTCAGGAGCGGCAGCGGATGCAGGACCTGAGTGTGCATCCTGCCATCCTGGACGCGCAGATCGTGATCTACTTCGACAACCTTTTTCTGGAGGGAAAGGCCCCATCCACGGGGGAGAAGCTCGTCGCGGCCATCCAGTACGTAGTGCCGAGCTACAACGCCAAGGGCATGATGACCTTGCCACGGGCGACCAGGGCCCTGCGCGGTTGGCGCCGTCTGGTGCCGCGCCGCACTCGGCGGCCCTTGCCCTGGGAGGTAGTGACCGCCATCGCGATGGGGCTCCTCCGGGTCAACGGCCTGGGGATGGCGCTCTGTTGGCTTCTCATGGTGGACGCATACATGCGACCGGGCGAGTGCCTCGACCTCCAGACAAGCCAGATCCTACGAGGGAACGCACAACAACACATGGAGCGAGCTGCGATCCTCCTGCATCCCGCCGAGAAGGGAATGCCCAGCAAGGTCGGGGCCGTCGACAAGAGTCTGATCATCAACCGGACCTGGCTCTCAGATGCCCTGACCAAGTACGCAGCGAGCCGGCCCCAGCGGGGGCCCTTGTGGGACTTCGCGCTCAAGGAGTTGAACGCCAGCTTCCTCACCGCCTGCATCCCCGCGGGCATCAGCAGCCTGAAGCCGGTCCTCTACATGGGCCGGCACTCGGGCGCCAGCCTGGACAGGCTGACCAACAGGCTGGACCTCGCCGAGGTGCAGCGTCGGGGCCGCTGGCGGACGGGAGCGTCGGTGCGACGCTACGAGAAGCGGGCGCTCGTGCAGGAGGTCTACAACGGGCTCGACCAGAGGTCCAAGGCCTACTGCAACAGGAGCGCCCGCGAGCTGGAGGCAGCGATCGTTCGGGCCTGCGGCCGCGTCAAGGGCATCAGAGGCGTGGGTTCTTCATGATCGAGGTGTTCAGTGGCTGCGGGGCTTTCTCCAAAGCCGCTAGGCGCCGCGGGGTGGAGGCCTTCCCCTTCGACGTCCTGCAGGGAGCCGCAGGGGACGTCACCCGCCGTCAAGTGCAGCGACGCATCCGACGGCTTCTGGCTCATCCTCGTTGTTTGGGCATCCTCCTGGCGCCGCCGTGCACCACGTGCAGCAACGCTCGGAGGCCGATGATCAGAAGTCGTGAATTCATCGAGGGCCCCCCGACGAACACTCCGTCGGAGCAGGCCCAGGTCGCAGCAGGTACTTTTTTTTTCCTGACTGACGGCCCAGCTCTGCAGGCTCGCTGTGAAGTGTGGAGTTCCTTGGGTGATTGAGAATCCTCAGACAAGTCTGATCTGGCACACTGTCGAGTTTCGCAGCCTTCGTAATCTTGCCAAACAGCAGTCGCTCACGACTCACCTCTGTGGTTTCGGAGCGCGGTGGAAAAAACTTACGACATTGTGGTCCTGGGGTGTGGAGAACATGTACAAGATGGTGCACAAGTGCCCCAGTTTTGGTTGTCAACCCTGTATATTCTCGGCGAAACCTCATATCGTGCTATCGGGACCAGACCCCACAGGGGTCCGCTGGACAAAGCGGGCAGCTGCATACCCTCCTCGGTTTGCATCCGTCTTGGCCGGCCTCTTTCTCGACACCGGTTTCACCAAGCTGTTGCAGGAATCAAAGCAATCTTATTTTCCAGTGGTGCCATGGGTGAGCGAAAGACTCAGACAGGCTTCGTGATCGTGAACCGCATACGGAGTTTGCGAATTTCGGGCTGTGTACTCTGGGCTTCGCCTTGCACGTCCCTGGAATTTCATGGCCGACCAGCTCGCCTTCGAGATTTTCAACAGATGTGGGTTCAAGAAAAACGGAATGGCACGATCGATGGGTTTGCTCTGCATGGGATTCGAGAGTAGAAATGAGTTGTTCGCTCCGCAGCTTTTCTCTCACCGTCCACAGGCCCCACCACCACCCTCTTTAAAGTGGCTCCCCCAAGTTTTTGGTGTCTCCAAGGGCCCTCCGAGGTCAACCCCGAGGGCCCTCTAAAATAACGATCTGCGCTTCTCACCCTGGCACCACGCAAGTGGGCTGTGTACTCTGGGCTTCGCCTTGCACGTCCCTGGAATATAATGGCCGACCAGCTCGCCTTCGAGATTTTCAACAGATGTGGGTTCAAGAAAAACGGAATGGCACGATCGATCCTCCTCCTCCTCCCCCTCCTCCTCCTTTCCTCCACCTCCTCTCGGGGCTGCGGCACGGCCGTCCAGCGGCCACAGTGGGTGTTCCTTTCCTCGCAGGGGGTCCCGAGAGAGCAGGCGTCCGCCCGGATGCAGCGGATCGCAAGCCCCCCTCGGCGGATCCAGGCCACTTGCCAGCGGTGCCTCTGCGAGCAGTGGAGCGCGCTTGCCCAGTCGTGGGGGCTGGGGGGGGGGCGCCGCGTGGCCCTCGTCGGGGCGCGGCGGAGAGCTCCGTCGAGGTCCTCGCCCGCCCCTCCAGGGTGAAACCCGCGCCCGTTGCAAAACCGCACCCTCCGGAGTCGCCGAGCGCTGGAGGGGGGAGGGGGGGGAGCTCCCTCTCTCCCTCCCCTCCCTCCCTCCTCTTTCTCCTCCCTCTCTCTCTCTCTCTCTCCTTACCTCTCTTCTCCTCTTCCTCCTCATCCTCCTCTACCTTTCTCCTCCTCCTCCTCTTCCTCCTTCCGCCACCTCTTCGTCGTTCTCCTCTTCCTCGTCAGCCTCCTCTTCTACCACAACCTGCTTCTCTTTCTCCTCACCCTCCTCCTCCTCCTCCTCCTCCTCAGCAGGGGAGAGGGAGGAGTCGGGGCCCAGGTCTGGGAGTCAACTGGAGCCGACCCCGAGGGGCGGTCGGGCGGGGCTAGGACAGGAATGACTCGTTCCAGAGCGTTCCAGACCGTTCTCAGAGCGATTCAGAATGCTCTGAGAAGGCTGCGGCGCCCGGCGCCCGACACATTTTCCGGGACCGCGGATCTTAGAAATCCCCGATCTACGGTAGGTTTGCGCCGCGTTGACGCGGCGGCGACCCCAGCGCTGGCGTTCAAGGTTGAGCGCCGCCAGTGGTCCAGTATCGGCCGATGTCGAGCGATCTGCTCTGTCGGAAAGCCGCGATCTTTCATAGTTGGACGATCCACGTCAGAAGCCAACGCCCGCGACATCGCGACGCGAATCAGCCGTATCCTCGTCCGATTTTGTCCCTGTCCTGGCTTCGTTTTGGGCGGGGGCAGTAGGTAGGAGGAGCAGGAGGGGGGCGCAAGGTCGGTCAAGCTCCAGCACAACGCTGGGGCTGGGGGCTGCTTCCCCCTGCACTACGACAACGCTGGCCCGCCGAGCAGGAGGGCGCTGACCTGCGTCGTCTACATTCGGAGGCGACGATAGGGGCGAATATCCCAGGGGCGGCCATTATACGCATTCGCCCAGGAGCCTCGCCGAAGGCATGGACCATTGGTGCCCCTGGGTACATGTGTATTGCTCTCCCTGGTCTGTTCGCCCCGATCGTCGCCCCCGAACATGAACCCCGGCTGGCGCCCCGGCGACGGCGGGGAACTCGAGCTGCGGCCGTTCCTGCGGCCTGCGGTCTTGGAAGAGGAACAAGTGCACAACACACGAGGAGGAGGAGGAGGAGGGGGAGGAGGAGGAGGAGGAGGAGAAGAAAGAGGAGGAGGAAGAGGAGGAGGAGGAGGACCAGTGGAAACCCAAGAGACATCAACGATGTTTGAATCAACCCTCCCTCCAACGATTCGTTTTCCATCGAGGGACTTGCCTCGTTGGAGGACAACAGTTTGAAGACTCTGAAGCGTGCCAAAACATTGTTCTCGGGATTTCAACGCCACGTATCAACCTGACTGCTGAGTCTTTCGCGGGCGGGAGGGGGGTGATGACTAGGGGGGGTGGATATCATGGCGGGGGCCATGATATTCCCCAGATTTCATGGCGCCTCTTCTCGTTTCATTACGTCCCTGGCCCCCCGCTGGGCCGCGCACATGCCGCCGGTCATGATTTGCACCCCCCCCTTCTTGGACACCCCCGTCTTGGCCGCTCCCGAGTCTTGACGATCCAGAATCGTGCCAGAACGCCATTTGTGGGACTTCAACACAACGAATCAACACAACTGTTGCGCCCGCATAATCCTGAATCCTTCCACAACACTATTTCTGATACGTTGATCATGGGAAACCGTGAAACTCTGGCAGTAAAAGAAAACGAATGTGGGCGGCGCTCAGGCGAGAGCCACATTTTGAAAAAGAGCCGCCCTCAATCCGTGAAGCTCTTGTATTTTTCAAAACGAATGTGCGCGGCGCTAAGGCGAGAGCCACATGTTGAAAACCACCCGCCCTCAATTCGTGAAGCTTCTTGCAGCTTTTTACAACGAATGTGCTTGGCGCTAAGGCGAGAGCCACATTTTGAAAACCACCCGCCCTCAATCCGTGAAGTTCTGGCATTTTTTGAAACGAATGTGCGCGGCGCCATGGCTAGTGCCACATTTTCAAAAGGAACAGCCTTCAATCTGTGGAAGCTCTTGCACATTTTTAGAAAGAGTGTGCGCGGCGCTAAGGCGAGAGCCTCATTTTGAAAAAACGCCCTCAATCCGTGAAGCTCTGGTAATTTTTAACAATGAATGTGCGCGGCGCTATGGCGAGAGCCACATTTTGAAAACCACCCGCCCTCAATCCGTGAAGCTCTTGTAATTATTTAAAACGAATGTGCGCGGCGCTAAAGCGAGAGCCGCATTTTGAAAGCGACCCACCCTCCATCTGTGAAGCTTTTGTAATTGTTTAACCTTCGGGGTCATAAGTGATGAGGAAGTTTCATGCGAAACGCCCGGCCCGCCTGAAAAACTGGCCTCGGGGTGCGACAGGAAAGAGTTATCTACAAGGAGAAGGAATGGAGGAGGAGGAGGGGAGGAGGAGGAGGAGGAAGAGCAGGAATAGGAGGAGGACCACTGGAAACCCAAGAGTCATCAACGATGTTGGAATTAACCCTCTCTCCAACGGTTCATTTTCATTGAGGGAATTGCCTCGTTGGAGGACTACAGTTTGAATATCCTCAAGCGTGCCAAAACATTGTTCTCGGGATTTCAAAGCCACGTATCAACCTGACTGTTGCGTCTTGACGATCCAGATTCGTGCCAAAACGCCATTTGTGGGATTTCAACACAGTGAATCAACATAACTGTTGCGCCCGCATAATCGTGAATCCTTCCAACACACAATGTCTGGTACGTTGATCATGGGAATCCGTGAAACTCCTGCTATCTTAAAAAACGAATGTGCGCGGCGCTAAGGCGAGAGCCACATTTTGAAAAAGAACCGCCCTCACTCCGTGAAGCTCTTGCAATTTTAAAACGAATATGCGCGGTGCTAAGGCGATAACCACATTTTGATAAAGAACCGCTTTCAACCCGTGAAGCCGAATGTGCGCGGCGCTAAAGCGCGAGCCACATTTTGAAAGCGACCCGCCCTCCATCTGTGAAGCTGTTGTCACTTTTTCAGCTTCAGAGTCAGAAGTGTCAGGAAGTCTCAGGCGAAACGCTCGGCCCACCCTGAGAACTGGCCAGGGGGTGCGACAGGAAAGAGTTATCTATAAGGAGAAGGAATGGAGGGAATGGAGGAGGAGGAAGAGGAGGAGGAGGAGGAGGAGGAGGAGGAGGATGAGGACGAGGAGCAGGAGGAGCAGGAGGAGGAGGAGGATGAGGAGGAGGAGGAGGAGGAGGAGGAGGAGGAGGAGGAGGAGGAGGAGGCGGAGGAGGAGCGAGGAGGAGCGAGGAGGAGGAGGCGGATGTGGAGGAGGAGGAGGAGGAAGAGGAGGAGGAAGAGGCAAAGGAGGAGGATCGAAGAGGGAACGGCCGAATGAACATGAACTTCCGGAGGTCCGCGCGGATTTCTTGGATCGGCGCCGGGCCTCCCTCCGTGGCGCGCGGAGCGCGCCAGGGGCCGCGCGCACAGATTCGGGTTTTCCATGCTTTTGCCATCACTTGTTCCTCTAGGTCCTGGTCCCGCCGCTGATGGGCCGCGCCGCGCTCTTCCGCAGTGACCGCGTCCTGCACCGGGTGCCTAGCATCGTCTAATCTGTCCCCATCCCCACTGGGCCATGGTATCCCAGCCTCACCAGTCCACCCTCCCAGGTGGGCGTAGGCCCCACGAAGCCCGAAGGAAACGGCACATCTCCCCAGCTGTGTGGGCAAGTCGGCCAGCGGGGCCAATGCCGCGCAGCTGAGCTTAGCAGCCGCGGCGCCTCCGTCGCTTCTCTGGCCGGCGCTGGTTTTCGCTCGGTCTCAGAGCGCCCCAGAGTTTCTTGGCCAGCAGCTGTCGTGAGTGCTGGTCTTCACTCAGGGTGGTGGTGCCGACCACCCTGAAGAGTTTCTTGGCAGGCGCCTCGATGTCAAAACAAAAACAGGCCACGCCAGTGGGGAAACGATGCCCAGGTGCGCCCGTCGTCAGCGGAGCGGCTGTGCTTCACCGTCTGGGTCGACGGCGAGGCGGTGAACGGGAGCGGCGACTGCGGGCTCACGGCGAGGCACCTAGCGGCCGAGCCGGGCGCCCTCGAGGCCTTCGCGCGCTCCCCGGTGCAGCGCGCCGTCTCCCGGGCGGTGTACGCGGAGGAGTACGAGGCGTCGCTGCGCGAGTGCATGGAGAGGCGTCCGGGCGAGCTGGAGGAGCCGTATGCAGACCCGTCCCCATCCCCGCTGGGCCGCGGCATCTCGGCCCCGCCGTCCCGCCCCCCCGGCTGGGGACGGGCCCCCCGAGGCCCGATCAGGCGTGGGGGGGGGGGGCGACTCGGCCGGCGTGGCCGAGGCCACACTCGGCGGGGACGGGCGTCGGAGTGCAGCGGTGCTCCGAGGAGATGCTCCAGGAGCACCGCCGCCACGTCGCGCAGCAGCGGGCGCACGCGCAGCTGGGCCCGTTCCTGGGGCGCCTGGGCGCGCTGCGGGCCCAGCTGGAGGGCGCCGCGGGGGCGGAGGCGGAGGGCCAGGGCCCCGACTGATTGCGAGGCTCCGAGGAGGAGAGGGTACCCATACCTCAGGGGGGGCAAAAACACACAGACACACTTAATCGTCGATTCCCATGAAAAGATGGGAAAATATGGGAAGTGGGGGGGGAAGACAAGACCCTAGAAAATATAGGAAAATATGGTGAATCCGGTTATTTGTGTGTATTTATTTGTGTGTCCCAGGACCCCTTCAATACCGCTACCCTTGCTTCGTGTTCGCTTTTCTCGGCCTCCTGGGAGGCCCTCGTCGCCACTGCCAGATTCGCCTTGAAGTTCTTTGTCAGGACGCACCACGGGAGAGGTCCAGGAGAAGCGGTATCGGTACCCTTTGATTTCCCCCGAGGCGTACGGCTTCTCCGCGGAGGCGTGGGGCGCAGCTGCGTCCACGTGCAGCTACAACGAGCCAGGCCTGGCTGCTGATGGTG